TTAAACTCCACACACCTTCACTAGAATCATTTGGATGATTTCAGCGCTAGAATTGCCGATCTCTACTGGACTAAGGGTTAAAAAATGTAGCTTAACGTCAAAACTACCAACAGACATCACAAGGTGGACAGAGCCTTTGGAGCTTTTGGAGCTTTTGGAGATCTAAACGGACTAATAAATGTAGTTAATAGGATTAACTGAGATTCAGGAGCAGGACCACGCCTCAGCCGCCCTCTCCTCTCACCAGCGAACCACAACTCACCTCGACCACGCCTTTAATTTCCCAGAAGCCTATATGTAGCAGCCTTTCCCATCATCCCAGTTTGTCTCGGCTAACTCGACCCCACCCTCCCATCCGCTATATTGTCTTTCAGTCACAAGACCCCCACAGGGAGTCTCGTTTCGGCTGGGCCAATTGTAGATTGAGACGGAGTCCCCACCTGGAGTCTCAACCCAGCCATCTCTGCCCCGCTTCGTACATTATCAATAAACTTCTTCGCACTGTCATTGTTGGTGTGATCCTAGCTAGTGAATAAAGGATTACGCAAACATGTGAATGAAACAAAAACACAACTCCAGGTATGTTTGTGATGAAGAAACATTCTAATATGGTTAATTTTGTTCATTGAGTTCATTTAAACCAAATCAACATTCACATCAACATTCACAGTTATCGCATATTAATCTACTGTGACCATTGTGTCCTTAACACCAGCTGACAAAGCCAAGGACAAACAAATAGGAGCTTTGTAAATATTCAAATGCAAACAAAGTCAAAGTGGCTCCTGGGCGACGGCCGCAGAGATGCAAAACACAAGCGTGACTTTGAGCTGCGTAAATAAAAGAGGCTTATGTTTCTGACCAAAGAGAAAGGAGACAGTTTGTTTAGGAGCATCACTATATACAGCAAATAGAATGAATGGACATTACTGGGAAATTATTTGGGGAGTAATCTGTTCTGCAAATAAATCTTCATTCATTCATTTGTGTGCAGTAGACTAGATTGATTATACTGCAGTAAATCTGGCTGTTCTAAATAGTCACTTACAAAAACACAAATGCCTGAAGTGTAGTTTAAGCAGTCCATATTTAATTTCAGTCTGCTTTCAAATCTTATCAATTTTGAATCAGTAAAAATGAGAACTTAAAGGTCCTATATTACACAAAATTGACTCGCGTGAGCTTTAAGACCTGTTAGAATGTTACCACCTTATATCTCATCCAACAAATCTGGAGTTGTTTCATTCACACATGTTTGAGTAATCCTTTATTATTAGTCTTTCTACATCTCTAAAGCTCAAAAATTTTCCATTTTACCTTGTGATGTCATGTAGCAGTAGTTTAAGTATATTTGACCTTTTAAGTACATATTAGCAATTAGCACAGGACATCACAAGGTGGAACAGTGTGTTTTTGTTAAAGAACTCAGTCTTATGCAAGATTTCTGTGTTAAATGTGTGAATGAAACAAAAACTCCAGGTATGTTTGTGATGAAGAAACTACATTTAACAGATCAGAAAATAGCCTAATCTGGACCCTTTAATAGAATGATTATTTTAAAACAGACAACTCAAGATTTAAACTGTTATACTTGTCAGAAAAATGACAACAAATGAGATATTGTTCCAAATTGGGTCATTCCTACTATATACACCTCTACAAACTGTCTAATGCTTTATGTTTTACACTGTAATTTTAGTTCTACCATTGAATCATTGAGACATGATTTTAAGGAGGATCAGGTGACCACTTTGAACACTAGAGGGCATCAATGTCACCTGCTTTTCTACACCCTGCCTCCAGGCAACAGACACACAAAATGTACAGAGACCGAACGGCCCAACACAAAGAGGCTCCAACCAAATATAGTCAATTATTTCTATTGTAAAGGGAGACCTTTTCGATGCTTTCTTAACCAATTACAAGGTGAAAATCTGACTGAAGGCTTTTAAATAGACCATATTTAACAGTTTTTGTTCTAAACTGGTCTTGTAAGTGTTTTAGAGTCAGTATAGTCCAATTAATTATTATCAAAATACATCTGCAGTTAATTTTCAATAAACTTTTATGCAACATTTTTCATAGTAGAAAAGTACTTCCTAGATAATTTTCTTTCAGTTTGTGAATTTTAAGGTCACCTGTTGTCTGCATTTCATATTGAAGCAGTGCAGTTATTTATGTGAATGGCAATACAAGTAGCAATAATGTAAGATTTTGTTATGGCAATGTTGAGTCCATGTTTTTTTAGACACTGTCCTTTATATGGTTTCATAAATGTACATAAATGCAAAGTCCAGTATAGACCAAGATCCTGGGTCAAGGTCTGTAAAGGGTTCGGGGTACTGCTCTTGACAGGTGTCCCGAGGTCTCAAAGGGCAGGTCAAATGCAACGGACAGAGAATATAGTATACTCCAACCACAAAAATGTCCTTTCTTAAATCCTCTAAAACAGTGTATCAAGTTAGCGTCACCAGGTGGGTCTAAGGTTTCTGAGGCACTTCCTGAAACTGCCTGACCTCTGCCCTCCTCCACCTCTTCTTCTCCCCCTCAGTTTTGTTCTCTGGTCTTTTGTGTTGGAATCTGGGTCATCGTGTCACTCCCTTATTTCTGTAATCCTTCAAAAGACATCTAAAACCTAAAGATGACATAAATATACACACATGTTTTTAGAAGTTATTAAAAAGTACAAGAGGTGCCAGGGCAGACTCTCTCCAGGCAGCTTGAGTTTATGAATTTCAGATTTTTATTATAATTATTTTTTTATTGATAATTCTTCCCATTATAGTACTGCCAGGAAATGTCAAGGCACTGTACGCTATGAGCCAAACCCAGTAAGGGCATCAGGCTTAGATCCCTTACTCCAAATCAGTGTGTATTCTAGTTTAGACCTACAGCCAGCTCAACCTCCATCTGACTTAAGGTGGTTCAGTCTCCTAAAATAATGCTCTGGTGTGACATTCCCACATTTATTTAAAGCAGACCTATTTTGTAAAATGCTCTTTTCAGAGCTTTTAATCATGTTATAGTTCCTTCCCCTCATTCATTCACCTAAAGCTGTATTTGGAGTGATTCATGCATGTTTGAGCAATGTCTTCAGTCTGAAGGAAACATGAATTTTCTTCCACCATTATTTTAGGCAGACACAGGGCTGCCATCGGAAAACATGTAAAATCTTGTTTTCATTCACAGAACATTGGGTCTGTTTGTGTGAGGGTTCTGTCAGACTGTGTTTACGCAAAACCAGCAGAGAGAAAGAGGGAGACAGAGGAGGAGCAAGAGAGACACAGAGAGAGATTTCATCCACCCCTTGTGCTTTTTACACAAAAATAAAGGAAAGTATTTGCATACTATTTATATAGTACACTACACTACAGACAGAGGGAGACAGAAAGACAATCCCATCCTCCCTAGAGTCCAGTTGCTCACCCACAGACCATCCCAAACTGGTGACACCACTATAATTACAACAGTGACAAACAGCCATTAGCTTTAATCCTATGGTGCTCTGGAGCACCCACCTGAAAGACGAGCAAGGAGCACCCAACACGGACTAAAGCACCTGTTAGGAAGGGTGTGGTCTGAAAATGTACACCCAGGACAACAGGAGGGCAAGAGGGACAAAACAATGCATGAATGTCCCCTAAAAGACAATAGTGAAAAGGAGAAATGAAGCCTATAGTTTGAGAACGAAGGGCAGAAACATGAGTGCCCCTGATAGTGTTTACGGTTGAGGAATGCAGTCAGTATATACAGGTCAGGGCATGATTCTCGTAAGTCCTTGTGAGTCAACCCTAAATATAAGCTCCCACAAAACTGACTAACGTTATGTAACGGTTATGATTCAACATGGTCAGGAGGAGTCACTCAAACTGAAGTATCACCTCTAAAAATAAAAAGCTGATGTAGTTAAAGTTTGACTAAATATATTAAAAGGTTCCATATTACGCAAAATTGACTCTTGTGAGCTTTAGGTCATGTTATAATGTTACCTTATCAAAAACATACCTGGAGCTGCTGGTCTCATTCACACAGAAAATTAATATGCATAATATGGGCCTCTTAAATGGTGACCCAAATGTCCCCATGACTACTTGACTTTTCTTTGTTTGTTTAAAACCAACAAAGGAGATCCTATCTTCAATGTTATCTATTTGCATTGTTTGTATGCTACGTCAACAACTGATAGTCTTCCAGGTAAAGATAAAGTGGATTGTAGTCCTAAAGAAATTACCCTAAATGAAATTAATTTGAATAGGTAATTTTCATAATTATTATTAACATAGGCCTATTTACAAAAATAGACGTATATGCAAGTCGCCGTGCACTGCATCTTATGAATTGACATTATCATTTGCCTTAACCTTCCAGGGGTACTCCACAGCACAAACTTATTCGCAAAAATAATTAGACAGGGACATATTGTTTCCAACGAAATTCGACTGCAGATCAGCGTCAATGCACGACACAAATGCAACAGCGTAACCGCGTTACGTGCTTTTCAATTTACTATTAAGGTGAAAAATGGTGAGAAAAAAACTTGAAGTAAATAACATGTCAAGGTGCCTTTGTTTCGTTCCTGTTGTGATGGGATTTAGTTGATCCTTTCCTGAACACACCCAATTTTGTAGGAGCGGAGTAACAGACAAGATTCGGGCGAAAAGGTTCAAAAAATACAACAAAAATTCACGTTATATAATTTTTCTTCTTTGTTACTACATTAAATTTTAACACAGGCTATAGTAGTGCAAAACTCGATAAATATAGTGTAAACTCCTATATTGCTCAAAAAAGTTGTAAAAGTTTGCATATTAACTTCACAGTGACTAAAAATATATATAAAAATAATAGGCTATTGAGCAAATCTTTGGAAATACACTGCTGTTTCAAGGGTGCAGATTTCACACATCTTCCGCATTCTTTTAGTTTAATTTAAACGCATATATTTTCTCATCAAAAACATAATTTTGTGGTGGTAATTATGGAGTTTGTGGTCAGCTTACCTGCAGCGAAGCACAGAGTCACGGCCAAAAGCTGGAAGATAGTTCTGTTCATGTCTGCGTTAGTGTTCTTTTTTTGGGTGGCGATGAGAGGTAAAAGTGTGCAAATGCCAGACCGTTATAAGAAAATGGACTGTAATAGAGTTTTTTTCCCTCCTCGTGGTCTTTATATCCCAGCGCCGCCCAGCGTCTGTCACGGCGGTCCAATCAGAATCAGAGGCTAACTGTCGCTATGGAGACGCCGCACCTGGGCGACCTGATTTCAGTGCGGAGCCTCGCGCTTACCTTGGGAGGGGGCACTTCCGGTTCTAATTGATCTCTTTAAGCTTTTTGCAGAGTCGTGTTAAAATTATTAAGCATTTAAAGATAAGGACATAAAAAAGGAAACTGCGGGTGGATGTCACTGACAACATGTTAAAAAATACACAAATAAATGCAGAGGATACTTCTGCTTTTAGAAAGGTAGATGTTTGTGTCTCCATGCTAACACTAATGCTAATTTTGAGGCATAATAAATGTTTAAACACTACAAACTGAAATCATCTCTATAAAAAATAAGTGGGTAGGCATTACTTTAATTAATTAGCACTTTAATAAGTTGTTTATTTTATATTTTATGAATTTAATAAAAGTGACCATTAGCTTTGAGACACATTAAACATGTATGAATGAACAAAACACAATTTACAGGTAGGCTATGTTTTTGATGAGGAAAATAGATAACATAACAAAGATCATAAAATAGCATAATGTAGGCCTTTTAAACTAAACTAGTCAGTATTAAAATCCTCATGTCTTATTTTGAACCATAAATTGGGAAGTAGCCTGCTCTGTACTCACATTGTTCATCATAATCAAACAGCAGAAGGACCTTTGATTTTTGGTTTTCAGAATAATGTGATGACGATTACTCTGACATTTCAGTGGATCTACCTGGGCTATTTCAGCATTTTTATTTAGTTCCAAAAAAAAAAAAAAAAAAACTCATTAGTGAATGGGGCTGAGATTCCTTTGGATCGTGGAGCAGACCATACATATTTATTTATTTAATTATTTAATTATTTATTTAAATATGTGCTGAGTTCTTATGAAATGTGCTCTCAGGTGTGTGTTGATCTGAGCCACTCCTGTACTTTGTATAGACAAAGTAGAGTTATGACATCATCACTCAACAGTCTAAATATGAATAAAAATGATGAATAAATTAAACAAAACCACATGAGAAGCACAGCAAAAATAAGCATGTCATGTGCTCTATAGGCTGGTATAGACCAGTGAAGGATGGTGACCGAAATAGATGATTGCTGGAGTTTCAGCATGCTGTAGTTTCAATGCAAATGCTGCTTACATAAGATTAGCTGTAACGTCAGTTTTTCCAATTCAGTTGTTTTTCAAGAGCCCATTGTTACAATAGCGGACCAGCTAACGTAAATGTGTGTTTATTAAACCCTGAGCCTAGTGCCAAAAAAGGATTGATGTGGCTGTGCTGTAAACAAATAATGTGAGCCCAACCCAAAACCTACATGTAAATGTCTGTTATGCCTAGCTTCATTGATGAGTATGCAGACTACCAAATGCTTCATTAAACCACACAGGTCAAGGGTCAGGTCACTCACTCTGTAATAAATGACTATTTCTCTGAAACCAATGTTACTTCTTTTGCTTTCCAAATGTGGTATGCACAATAACCGTCATGTCTAATAGTAGACTCTGTATCAGAGCCACTCTTCCAGTTTAGATTAATCCTGAATTCTTCCAGTTTGTGGTACATAATAATTTTTTGATACACACACTTTTGCTGTTGAAGTAAAGACAAAACAGATGAGCCTGTTCAAATGTCTGAGCCTAAATCAAACAGAGGTAACTGTTGTGGACACATTTTTAAAAAAGCTAATGTAGATTAATAAATTTGTTTTGTGGGTGGATCAAAGGTGCACTACTGTATGTAACTTGTAATGGTAGAAGATAAAGTGACGTTTTTGGAGTGTTCCACAAAATGGCATTTAATTTCAAACTTCATGTGAAGACACAGTAGGCCAAGTTACAGCTCAGATCACTCATAGTAAGATTGTTTTCAGGTTCTGATATTTTAAACAATAAAAACATTATTTGAATAATGGTTAGATAAGTGTAACGCCATAGACTGTTGAACTTTTAAGTCCTCTTCAAGGTGGCTAAACGTACTGGTGGAGAGAGTCTGAGAGCTGAAGAGTTTGGATTTATAAGATGTAATTTATTTTTTTACATTATTAATTGCTATGGCAACTGTGCTCATGTTTATTTACTCTGAAACCCATGGGTAGTTGCTCTATGTTGACCTACACTTTAGATATTGTTTAAAAGTACCCACCAACCCACAAAATAAAGTATCCCACCAAATAACCACTTAACTGATTCTACAGACACATTTTACAAAGTTTCCTTTAGCCTGTAATTGTGGAGTTAAGTGTTATATTGTTTACCTGAGTTACATATATTCACTTGTGAGTGACATAATGCCCCATGTAAAGATAATGGGTGTTTGCCCCTGACCACAGAAACAAGTGTCTGGACTGGTCCCGACTCCAAAACAAACAAAACTGCAATGTTGGGGAGGTTTGTGGGACATTCCTGATCCAAGTCAACAAAACAGGTGGAATACCAACCTGGTACAGGGAAGTGTTCTGAAAACAGTTACGTCATGTGGAGGTGACCAGACTCACAGCTTAAAAGTAAAGTATTAAAGAAGTGTATGATCTGGATCCTCTGCAACATTTCTGTGGCTTTTTTGTCATATTATGCTAAAATAAAGAAATAATGAAAGTATATATTAAAAGTCTACAATTAAACTCTTCTGGTAGAGAGTCTGCCACCCTTTTCTGTAGTAGTATTAACGGGGGTAATTGATATTAAACATTGGAATTCCCTAATATTGGAGCTTCCAGTGTTTTCATTAAGTGATATACAACTGATATATTACTCCATACTCCCTGTTCTTTGAGCACATACAGGAGCCATCAGTTTCCTATATGTACTTTTTGCCTTTTATGTATATTCTCTGTACCAAGGTTTCATGTGTACACAAGCCCATTCTATTCATTATCATAAAACTATAAATACTGATGGTTTTCTTTTGTCTGAACCTCCCTGGGCCACTCGCGAAGATGTAACATGGAACATCCTAATGCTATTAAACTTCTTTCACGTAACAATTTATCTGGCTATGGAGTCCATTCTTACCGATACCGATATATGGTGACAGAAGTGGGATTCAGCCATTAGATGGGTAAGTACTTATTTTTGCAAGATGCACAGTAACATGAGTAAAACCATCAAAAAAATAATAAAAAATAAATAAACAACTAAGTAAGTACTAACAACTGAATAAGTAGCCCAAAAAAGATAAAGAACTTTTGGTCTATTATTACAATGCATCATTAGTATTAGTAGTAGTAGTAATAATAGTATCAGTAGTAGTATCAATTTAAACCAATACTGAAACAAGAATGAAACCAACTCCTAAAACCCGTTTAACTCAGTGCCACAGCTCAGCCCCTCCAGATGCTCCCACTGATCTAACCTGCAAGTCAGTGACTACACGAAAACTAAAATAACTAAACAATTAACAAGGTTTGGTTACACTGACATCTACAGTCCCTGACAAAAGTCTTGTCGCTTATCCATGTTGTAGAAACAAAAGCTTATAACCTGACTTTAAATTAATGGATTGGTTTTAGAAATGTCTCATATGAAAGCTAAAACCCTCCCAAATTATGCTCAATATACTAAAATAAATTTGCTTCACTGAGGAAAGATTGATCATTTAATGAACACAGAAAGGTCAGATTTTGGCAAGACAAAAGTCTTGTCGCCTACAGAAAATTGAACAAATAATTTACTTCAAATACAAAAATATGTTGCATAATGTCAGTGAATTGAGTAGAGGTGCTGTGAGATCCATATTTAATATCTTGTATGACTTCCATGAGCTTGAAGGACTGCATCCATGCAGTTCGACAATGATTCATACAATTTGTAGATGAAGGTTGTTGTTGTTCATCAGGAAGAGCAAAGACAGCAGTCTTACATGCCTCCCAGAGTTCATCAGGATTCTTTGGTTTTGCCTTCCATGCTTCCTCTTTCATTCTACCCCAGACATGCTCAATGATGTTCATGTCTGGTGACTGGGCTGGCCAGTCCTGGAGCACCTTGATCTTCTTCGCCTTGACAAACCTTTGATGTAGATATAGAAGTATGCAATGGAGCACCATCCTGCTGGAAAATTTGACCCCTTTTATGGTTGAGAATGTAAGAGGTAGTTAATACTTCTTGATTATTACTATTTTAGGCTATTGATATTGCCTTCCACCCTGCAAATGTCTCGCACAGCCCCATACTGGATGGAACCCCAGACCAGGATTTTTCCGCCACCAAATTTAACTGTTTCCTGGGTGAATCTTGGATCCATGAGGGCTCCAGTAGGTCTCCTGCAATATTTGTGGCGGCTGTGATGTAATTCAACCGAGGACTCATCTGAGAAATCCACCTTCTGCCACTTTTCCAGTGTCCATCCTTTTAGCAGGCTGTGGGCCTTGGCAAATGCCACACAGTTTTTTAATTGCCTTTTGTTTAGTGCTGGTTTCTGTGCACTGATTCAACCATGGAGGCCATTTCGAGACAGAATTCTACAAACTGTTCTGGTTGACACAGGGACTTGAGGTGACCAGGCCTAGTGGAGCTCTGCTGCAGTGGAAAAGGGGCTGGCCATGGATTTTCGAATCAACAAACGGTCCTCCCGAGCAGTTGTCTTGCGGGGTCTGCCGGACCTGGGCTTGTCAAAAGCATCTCCAGTCATTTCAGATCTTTTTCTTATTCTTTGTACTTGACGCTGAGACACATTGAAGGTGTCAGCCACCTCAGCAGTGGATCTGGTCTTCAGCCTCTTGATAATTAACGCTTTGGTCTCAGGGTGGATCTTAGGCATGTTGTCAGAGGTCAAGTTGCAGTTGATGTGAAGGTCTGGTGTGCTGGGGTTCTTTTTATACACACCCACTAATTGATGGTTCAGTAACTGATCACAGATGAGGCTGTAATCTAGGATTGGGTGCATCATATGACAAGGCAACAAGACTTTTGTCTTGCCAAAATCAGACCTTTCTGTGTTCATTA